GCAGTAAGCAGCGACTGCGCTTGGGCTGCGCTGCAGTGTTGGCAATATTATGAGACTTTATTAATTGAATAATTTTATTTCTAGACGTAGAATCTTAATGAATCTTTCTAGTATTTGAAATATGCTTGAATATATATTTTAGATTTGGAGACTCTTGCTTTAAAGATGTAGGAGATATAACTTTAAACCTGATTTTCAATGGGGTTTTTTATCGATAAAAAATATATATATATCGCGCGATATATATGGACACTCTAAAAAAGTTCAAGTCTCTAGCTCTTATATCTTCTGAAATCAACGCGTTCAAGCATACGGTCAGGCGGACGGTCGGACAGACAGACAGAGGAACAGGGCCAGCTCTTCGCCCTGATCAAGGATATATATACTTTGTGGGGTCTGCCACGCCTCCTTCTGCCTGTTACATACTTTTAACAAAACCATTATACCCTGATTTCCCATTTTCAATGGGTTCAGGGTATAAAAAAAACACACACACAATAAGCAGAAAGCTTAATATATTCAAACTACTTGCGCTCCGATATATATATATGTATATAAATATATATTATATATGAAAACATTTTTGAATGATTCGAAAAATTACCATAAAAATCTTATATTGCCTCTGATGAGCTAGAGATAGAATAATTTCGAAAGTGTACGAAATAATAATATATTATATTTCAAAACAAAGCAAATTTTGTTGTATGCCAAAAACATCGGAACGAGGGTATCAAAAATACTTCTTAATGGCAAATCTTCATCAATACAGTGATAACCGACGTCAGTGACGAAAGGTCACTGAAACAGATCGTCTCTTAAATACGATCCACCAATTGTATGCTCACCTTTAAAAAAGAGTGAGAAAAGCATATCGTCTGATACGCAGCCTTTCGTCGTCATCAATCTACCCGGTCATATTAGGGACTATAACTATTAAGTAAATGCAATAAATCGGCCAGAAATTTTTAAATTAAACTGCAATCAACACAAAACGTGAAAATAAATATATGAGTGTATGTATATAAATATATGTATGTATGTATGTCATGTTGCAGGAATATTGATTCTGAATGCATGAGAGCTGCCAAAAAAGACGCTCTTTTTTGCCCGCGTTCTCTGGCCCACTCTCCCTCTTTCTTTCGTTTACCGCGACGCTCAAATCAATAAATTTTGATAGATAACGATATCTAATCTAAACTTGGTTAAAAGTAACTTTAAAAGTAACTACATAGCGGAGCAACTCTGCAGTAAAGTACCTGAGTTCACAGCTGTTAACCGAACCAGGAAAGAAGTGTTCCTTTTACTTAGTCATAATTCAACTATTCCAAGCATACCTGAAAATGAAGGTGAGCTGCAACAGCTAAAGCTACTCTTGAAGGAAGTTTGATAGGTACAATCCGTATCTTATATAATTTATATTAAATTATTAGTCATGGGCTGTGCTGCTGTTGCTGGCAGTTGGAGGCGTGCGTAGTGGCGAGGTCGCAGAGGAACCATCCAATGTCAAGGACACGATTGTCATACAAACGAAGCTCCAGAACTATGAGAAGCCATCGCTGCGCGACTATAAAGAGTGCCAATCGAATCGACAGGGCTGCTTGGATATCTGCGCTGGCAGTGAAAAGTGCGAGCTAGAGTGCCCCCTCTGCCCGGAGCTGACAGAAGAGCCACTCCTAGTGCACGGCATCAATGATACCAGCTACGTGGCACCTGCTCAACCCCCACTGAATACCACCAACATCATCAAGCTAACGAATGAGATCACCAACATTATCAAAAACGATATCAAGGGTCGGAATGAGATAAATGTGCAGGTGCATCAGAATGTATCCACGGTGGGTGGCCGGTTCGGTCTTGGCTACAACGAGCAGGGCTCCTGCTGCTATGTGGTGCAACGCGAGCGCAGCTGTGAGCACCAGGAGCGCTGCCAGGAGCACTCCCGCCATCGCGTCTGTGGAGCACGGTGCCGTGCGCGAGTGATGCATGCCAAACGCGTGCTGCAATGCGAGAAAGACGCTCCAGAAGAGTGCCACGAGACGGTGCAGTATGTGCCCATGCAGCGTCGCAAGTCGACACAACGCGACAGTTACCCTTATTTACCTAAATACCAGCCCCAAAGACAATCCCAAGGATGTGCCTACACAAACGGCTGGCCTTATGTGTCCTGTGGTCAGAATAGTAACAGTGCGAGACGTTCCATCTGTCAGAAATGTCACCATATGGCCTATGGCTATGTCTTGCAGAATGGCATCCCGCTAGAGTGCATGGGTTGCTTTTCAAGCTATACATTACCGCTGATGCCACAGCCTGTGATCTACCCACCCTATTTTGGTTCCAGATTTGACTACAACTATCAGCCAAGGCCTGAACAACAACCTGACGAAGAAGATCAATACACAAGTCCGCAGCAGGAGTGGGAGGAGGAGCACGATGATCTGGATATTGAGGATGGAGACAGAGACAGCGGCTGGGTTCTGAAGTCAGAGAAATGCATGGACCCAAGTGGAGAATTGGTGAACTGTAAAGATGGCCAATTACCCCCAGCACACTTGGAACAGGTCAACGATCCTTACTACGATGTGCCCGTACAACGACGACGACGGCGTCATGACAAGTTTATTCGTTCCCTTTACAGTCGCCGTGTCTAACAATCAGCTTGTAAGAGATAGAGATAGATTTTATTAAAGTTTGAATTCGGAAAATTATGCTATGACAAAATAAAAAAACTTTTTTTCATCGTTACTTTAGAGCCTACAAGTGCCCGAGACTTGAAAAAGAGTTGTAGTTAAAAAAAATCAGATCATGCAGAGTTCTTCTAGTTGACCCCCCGTCTAGTTTCTTACTCGATGAGTATGTTATTTTGCTCGAAATTTTATGATCGGAAGTATATGACTGTACTATGAGAGTTGTTGTATTACTTGAACAGAATTTAATGACTTTACAATACAAAATCCAAATAGCTGCGTAGTCTGTGCACTATTTCAAAAAAAAAAAAAAAAAAAAAAAAAAA